TAAGTACGAGTGGACAATGTCATACTTACAACGGGTAAAACCTCGTTATAATGACGCTAAGTAGAGGCGGGTGGAGTCAATATACAGCACTGGCATACTGACACTAAGGTGTAATACGAAACCCCGTTATACCATCACCATTTGTTCAATAAATAATTTGCATTACATAAGGTTTGGCGATATTTATTGAAATACATTTGTAAACAAATTGTTCAACCAAAATTCAAAGTACTGTTGAGAAATGTGTAAAATACCAAGGCAAAAAGGCAAATTCGTCAATGAAGTAACAGAAATCGTCGTCACTGACGCGTTAATGTGAAAAATACAGTCAGAGGTCAAACGTCTTTTATGTTACGTCCTTTCTCCATTAGACTCTATGTTAATTATTTTTCGACGATAAATTTTCCGTCTGGTTTTTTTGAAGTCAAGAAATGATTTAGTAATTTTATATAATTATCCTTTCATAGAATCATAACCACAACGAGTTTATTGGTCAAAACAATTTTTACAGCAAAATGTAACATTGTGACTACGGGAATGACGTCGAAGTATAATTCCATGCGGTAAAAAGTGATCGCAACAGAGGTAGCGGAATCGATATCACTTTTATGACAAGAAACACTAGATCATTCTCTAACAGAGTGTCAAGTTTTATTAAAATTTGGATATCAAACGAAGTCATGATAATATTTTGGAGATAAAAATGGAATTAACATAGAGCCCAATAGGAAACTTACATCTAACATCATTCCGATTGAAACATGTGTACTAGTTTTTCGTTTTGCGGGTAAAACATGGCACACCGAGTCTGTCATCTGTTGTATGCTATTTCACATTCCAGGTGGATCGAAAGAGTATTAGCCCGAAGTGTCCATCACCTTAAGACGATGGTCAAGCGCCTGGACTCGACCGATAAATCCATGGAAAAAGAGATGACACATACTTACGAAAAGTTGAAACATCTGAAACAAAACTCTAGTGCTGTACTTGCCGAATTGAATACGAAAGTACAGGAGAAATACACCATGCTCTGTGATGAGTTCCGAACTGAATTTATAAAACCCGGAACAAGGGTTGCATTGACACAATGGATAAAGTCCGAGACCCCGGAAGTCGAGAATGGTCAAACCTGGGTCGACATTAAGGAGGCGATCAACATCAGGATATCCAAAAGAATAAGTGACGAGATGATCCGGTGGGAAAAAGAGACGGGACATTTCCAGTCCATAGAGGATATGGTCGTTAATGACATAAAGCTCCAACTGAGATTTCTCCAAGACGAGGTGGAAAAAATTGAAAATGAAATCCAAAACAACGGACCAACAACACCGGACATAGTATATACAGGGCGCAGGCGCCTAACGTTGGGAAACCCCCAACAAATGGTGAAGGTCGTCTTAGACAGTAAGACACAAGATATTCAAATGCCTGTAAGACTTGCGTCACAGATGACTCCGCCGGTCACTTCCTTCATGAAGAAAGTAAGACAATCTATGCTTTGGGATCAATCTGAGAAAAAACTACAAATTTACAAAGACGACCCTTGTAAAGTGGTGAAAGGTCGAGCTGAGAAATTACTCAATCTCTTGTTGAGCCACGGAAAAAACGACGACATACTTTTTCAGTATATCAGTAGCTGGATGAATCGCCCAGTCCTGTATCTCGAACTAATCGAGAAAAACATTCCCGCGCTCATTGATGCAAATGAGCAACTTCTGGATCACGTGGCTGTGTGCCGCGTAGATGCCAAGGAATCACGCGCGCTGTACGAGGAAATGATGGAAGGACTGGATATGTTGAAGGTCCATCTGACACAATACGGCCAGGGGCATATATTTGTGGACGATTTCGTGAATGACCAAATACATATTCAACAGGACATTCGTCTCGGAATCACGGCAAGCTTGAAGGTTTCTGACATGATACTGAATAGTTCTTCTTACCGAGAAGTGAACAGGTGATGTATATATTAATGATTAATTTAGAATGTGTTAAAACAATTATTGGATATAAAAGGTTTCTAAATGACTCATAAATGTAGGGTGTAGCAAAATATTTGTCTGAATTGGAGAAATCACATTATCTAAAAGCAAACATCACATTTTCTGCATGCGATCGAATTTTTTTTGCGTATACAATTCTTAGTGCCCTTGCAGGAGGGAAACATGAAAATGTGTTTCCTTCGATTAATTACGTTCACCTCAGTAGGGTCTTAATGTGAAAGGAAACCGAAGTACCCGTAGAAACCCTCCGTGGTTGATCGGGCAAGTGACCCCATACCTTTTCACGTCTAGTCGAGGTGATCGACCCCCCTTGGTGAAAGGCAAATGTTCTATCCACTGTGTCACACGCCAATTTAACATTAAATCTTCCCATGTAAATATAAACAGATCGATGTTATTTTGAAAATCAAGTTTCCACCACAGAAGAGCGTTACCCCGAGGACTTTGGACGGCTCTACAGAGTGCCTTCCTGAAGAGAGATGGTCAAGACCAATCAGTGACCATCAAGATCTACCTACAGTCGGCTGGAATTGAACAAACCTTCCCAGAGGTTTCTAAACTTAGGTACGTACATTTTCTGTGGTCTTTAGAGTAATTGGTATGATACAGACATTCCCAGAGGTTTGTAAACTAAGGTACGTACATCTTTCTGTGGTCTTTAGAGTAATTGGTATGATACAGACATTCCCAGAGGTTTGTAAACTGAGGTACGTACATTTTCTGTGGTCTTTAGAGTAATTGGTATGATACAGACATTCCCAGATGTTTGTAAACTGAGGTACGTACATCTTTCTGTGGTCTTTAGAGTAATTGGTATGATACAGACATTCCAAGAGGTTTCTAAACTAAGGTACGTACATCTTTCTGTGGTCTTTAGAGTAATTGGTATGATTCAGACATTCCCAGAGGTTTGTAAACTAAGGTACGTACATCTTTCTGTGGTCTTTAGAGTAATTTGTATGATACAGACATTCCCAGAGGTTTGTAAACTAAGGTACGTACATATTGCTGGGGTCTTTAGAGTATTTGGTTTGGTACAGAACTTCCCATTTGTTTTCAAAGTTAGTGACATACCTATTTCTTCGGTTTCTGGAATATTTTGTACAGTATGATACAGTTTCTTTAACTGGTGTTTAAACTTTAAGACACGATAACCAGGTTTGAGACAGACTTTTTTATTATGCCCTCTGTATTATTGTATATAAAGCAGTTTTCAGTATAGTCTTACCTTTACTTTTTGTATCGGTTTTATTTTATTTATCAGTCCGAGTCCAACGCTCTATATAAGTACGTGGCTTTTGCTTCATGCTTTTGTTTGCATTAGGATTTTTATCGTTAACACCTAATCGCTTTTTGTTTGTATTATAATTTGTATTGTTAACACTTACAGGTTTTTGTTTGTACATTGTATTATGATTATTATCGACACCACTTACAGGTTTTTGTTTGTACATTGTATTATGATTATTATCGACAACACTTACAGGTTTTTGGACCACGAGTCAGTGGCGAGGTTTTTGGGCATTCATCACTCCGACTCGCCCTCCCCAGCCTTTGTGTATGACTACCACCTGAAGTCTGTGAAGCGTTATCTAAGATCGACACTGGCCAACATCAAACAGGAAACGGAGAGAATAGTCTCCCAAACTGCTTCCGGTCTAGAATACCTCCACCGAAAAAACTTGGTACACATGGAACTCAACACTCAAACAATCACGGTAAGAGCGATGACGAGTTAATGAAATCATTTTTATGACTTTGGTAAATTATTCAAGATTTCATGGATTTAAAAAAAAAAAATATGTAATTTTTGCATTATCGATATTCCCGTGTATGATTGCCAATACAATATGTTATGATTGACAGGTTGACCCGGACGGTATGGTGAAACTGACCGGTGGTTGCCTGCCCCGTCTTGCGTCATTTCCGCTGGACAAGGAGAAGGTGGAAGTCGGTGACTTTATGTATCTGTCACCCTCGGTACTGAAAGGCGAACTCTATATTTCCGTGTCCGATGTGTACGCATTCGGACTCTTCCTGTTGGAGGTTGTGGTGGGTTTAACTGCATACGACAAGTTCCGAAAGTTACCCCTGGACAAGTTCACAGCGATGGTCGATCCGCCGGTTATGTTAGATCTAGAAAATGCGCTATCTAACCTCTCCGATACAACCAAGGACATTATCTGTCGATGCGTGGCTACTTCAAATGATGACCGGCCCAACATGTCCGAGCTCACCGGCCTCGTGACTTCTTTAGGAAAGGATGTAAAAGTGGGTCCCGTCAAATCGAGACGTCACAGAGCACCTGTAAACAGAACTAAACGAGGGTCAGCAGACACGACAATGTCCTGATAGGGTATTGCGCATGATCAAATGTCTTTCATTTTCGGGGAAAAAAGAATGTGTTCTTTATAGAATTGTTGTTAGATCTTAGGTTTTACTAAGAAGCATGTTGTGTTTATTGGATGCTATCAAAAACTATTTTCACAAAGACTCAACCATTCAGTAATCGACGCATTAAACACTCGATAAGATATATTATATATATTTTTGTAAAAACGTTCGAATTCCTCAGTGAACAGGTATTGGCACTGGACTTCAGTGTAATGAAGAATTTTGCGAAATATATTCGGAGGGGAATTCCTATATTGGCAAGTAGAATGTGATGCGTTGTGTTCATATATGCAGAATTAAAACACGAGCTCACGTTTACTTAAAGGTAGTGGAGGCTATTTCAAGTGTTATCGGCTATCATCATGTATCATTTAACTAGTGCTTGTTATATGTGTACAACATTCGTAATATCAACAACGTAGGCATAGAGGGGTATCTGAGAACTGTTTTGGCTGCCCTGAGTGGAACCCTTCTTCACACCTATACCTGATGCCTTGGTACCGTTAACTTCAGGCATCAAGCTGCTGTTTTACTTGATACAAATATGTCGGCCTTCAGGTTTTTTGCAATTTGCCGCAATATTGTTCAATATTGTCAATTTGACGCTTGGAATGTCGCTTCAAAAAACACTGTGAATAGCTTTGAATCAATAGTTCAAGTGACTTAGATTGTCAGAGTGCTGTCCCGAAAACATTCATCCAGGCTCATATCAGTGTATAAAACCTGTATTGGACGTGATGATATTTTCCTCAAGAACAAAACAGTGGAAAGTAGTTTGGTAATCATGTGTCAATAATAATGTATACTATAATAATTGAAGAAACTGTTTATCGAAAATATTGTTATTTGGGGCTGAAAAGAGTAATTTAAACACAGACGTTTTGTGCACACACACTGCCTTGTATTATACAATTAATAAGTAACATGCCTGTTCATGTGCCCCTAAAACATCCATGCACTCATCATTATCGAGAAAACTGTCAGACAATATGGTTTAACAATCATGCCGATATACTCGCTACCCGGTAATATATAATACTAGATGGCACACATGTTGCTACCTCCTCATTGGTTGGATCATAACCACGTGGAGGTCGGTGATTTGTGATACTGACCGGGTGTTACTATTTTTAGGAACAGCAGGTTAACAATTCACTTGATGACGTCATTTTAATTATAACGTCACAAACGTTCAAAAGCATCTATCATTCCTCTTGACAATTTCCATACGTTCCATCTCGTTACATGATTTAAACATCATTTAACATCTAATATAAAAATGAAGGGCTTTTATTACGGTGAATACGTGGTTACATTGACCGGAAATAAGTGATATTAACCTAAACTTCATTTCGGTTAATATCACTTTCTCAGGTCAATATAACCACATATTCACCTCGTTCAATATCAGGATTATATAACCACATTTTCTCACAAAAAAAAATCCATAACTGATCAATGTTTCATGAAGCCAGTTATGTAACGGCATGACTTTAATATTATACGTGCAATTCCTTTATGAGATAATTATTAATGCTGTTGCTCGATACTGTGATTGTGTACTTAAAACACACAAATAGATGATCCATTAATCAAGATGGCTTTACCATAGTCAAATGCATGACAGGAATGCCGTACAAAAGACTGAGACATATCAAACCAACTTTCTTTACACAATATCATTATAATGACAGAAGCATTAAATTTGTAAAATTAATAATTAATAAAATGTTGATTTGAAAGAATAGAGGACCATTTTTTATTCGGGCTTTCACCGAATTGTTCTTTCTTCCTCTGTTTCTTTCCATTTCTACACGATACATGTTTTGTTTTATCAGAATAGCATTCATTGACGCGTTCGTTTGAACATTTAATATGTAACAAAGTTTGTTGTTTAGCTCTGAGTGGGTTAAATCTACGTTAAAGAAGTTTTGCTGACGTCATCTTGACTTTAATCTTAAGCGGGATATTTAATTGTTTTGCACAGAATGTCACCAATCTTTGCCAATCCTTATGCTTGCCCTTCCAGAACGATTAACGCCACTTCACTGATATAGCTGTTTTTATTCTATTTGATTTTTATGTTTCTAACTCAGAGGAGAAATCTTTAACTTTTACAAAAAAAAGGAAATAAACAAGTAAGTAAATAAAGAATAACATTTTATGAATCCATGCATAATATAAAGGGATCTTACGTTGAACAGTTACTGCAATGACTAAATGTTTTGCGAACACTTATTTTCGTTGGGATATGTGATTCACAAACAATAACAATCGTACAAAATACTTCATGTAATAGAATGTCGGTTTGTTGATAAATAGCCACAAGATATTAAAAACCTGCAATCGACTCTTATCGCTAACTTACCCATTGGGATTGCAAGACAAATGTAAAAAACACTATATACACTAACATATACACCGACATTCAAATACGGGATAAATATTCATAAAATATTTTAATGAATTCGCGACCGACTCTTCTCGACAACTTAACCCGAAAATAGATCAGATGAAACATGAATTTATAGCCACAGAATATGTATGTTACTTCTGTTAAAAGGTAAACTTGTGACACGATGAAATTTGATTCACCAGTTAGCCTCGCTGGCGTTAAAATAACGTCATTTAGGTGATTTAAAATGTATCATTTTTCACACAGCATGTGAAATTGGGCCAATTTGAAAATAGGCATACCAATTTAAAGAAGCAACTACGTGTGACAAATCTTCATATAAGCGTAAACTTTATGGCTATTTAACAACAAATATACTGAAAGAAAGTGTATCTTTCCTCTATAATGGTCACATAAAATTAAAGGATTGTTCAATAATGTCGAAACGAAATTGATATTTTTTTCTGTATGTTTATGTTAATTCAAGAAACACACAGAGAACGTTTAAAAAAAACATGAACTTGACCTAAAACAGGAAGTAGCAGTATTAATAGCTGTAGTAGCGGGTTACCATTAAGGCTAACGATTTGGGTGGATAGCTGTTTAAAAGAGTTTAATGCCTATTTAAATAGATAATGTCTGAGAACGTGAGTTTTAAATCTTTTGTAGTAATGTTTTCATAAAAGAGTCAATATAACGTATCAACTTCAGCCGTCCTTTTGTAAAAGTTCCTGATCGACAGAAGTGCGATAGTTCCTAGGTGCGTCAGTACATTACAGCACGGTACTGTCCATAGAGCACTAGATGTGTTAACACGATACTGTATATCGGGTCTAGGCGTGTAAGCACGGTACTATCTGTAGGGATCTAGGCGTGTAAGCACGGTACTATCTGTAGAGATCTAGACGTGTCAGAACGGTACTGTCTGTAGGGGTCTAGATGTATCACCACGGTACTGTCTGGAGAGATCTAGATGTGTCAGCCCGGTACTGTCTGGAGGGACCTAGATGTGTCAGCACGATACTGAGCACGGTACTATCAGTAGGTATCTAGATGTACCAGCACGGTACTGTCTGGAGGGAACTAGATGTATTAGCACGGTACTGTATGTAGATATCTAGATGTGTCAGAACGAAACTGTCAGTAGGGATCTATATGTATCAGCACGGTACTGGCTGGAGGGATCTAGATGTTTCAGCACGGTACTGTCTATAGGGATCTAGACGTGTCAACACGGTACTGTCTGTAGAGATCTAGATGTGTCAGCACGGTATTGTCTGTAGGGATCTAGTCGTGTAAGCGCGGAACTGTCGGTAGGGAACTAGATGTGTCAGCACGGTACTTTCTGTAGGGATCTAGATATATCAGCACGGTACTGTGTGTAGGGATCTAGATGTACCAGCACGGTACTGTCTGAAGGGAACTAGACGAGTCAGCACGGTACTGTCCGTAGGGATCTAGACGTGTCAGCACAGTACTGTCTGTAGGGATGGGGGGGTGTCAGCACGGTACTGACTGTAGGGTTCTAGACGTGTCAACACGGTACTGTCTGTAGAGATCTAGATGTGTCAGCACGGTATTGTCTGTAGGGATCTAGGCGTGTAAGCAAGGTACTATCTGTAGAGATCTAGACGTGTCAGCTCGGTACTGTCTGTAGGTATCTAGATGTACCAGCACGGTACTGTCTGAAGGGGTCTAGATGTATCAGCATGGTACTGTCTGTAGGGGTCCAGATGTATCAGCACGGTACTGTCTATAGGGATCTAGACGTGTAAGAACGGTACTGTCTGTAGGAGTCTAGATGTATCAGCACTGTACTGTCTGTAGGGATCCAGACGTGTCAGCACGGTTCTGTCTGTAGGGATCTATACGTGTCAGCACTTTACTGTCTGTAGGGATCTATACGTGTCAGCACTTTACTGTCTGTAGGGATCTATACGTGTCAGCACTTTACTGTCTGTAGGGATCTACACATGTCAGCACGATCCTGTCTGTAGGGATCCAGACGTGTCAGCACGGTTCTGTCTGTAGGGGTCTAGGTGTGTAAGCACGGTACTGTATGTAGATATCTAGATGTGTCAGAACTGTGTCAGCACGGTACTTTCTGTAGGGATCTAGATATGTCAGAACGATACTGTGAGTAGGGATCTAGACGTGGCAGCACGGAACTGTCTGGAGGGATCTCGATGTGTCAGCACGGTATTGTCTGTAGGGATCTAGACGTGCCAGCACGGTACTGTCTGCAGGGTTCTAGAAGGGTAAGCACGGTACTATCTGTAGGTATCTAGATGTGTCAGAACTGTGTCAGCACGGTACTTTCTGTAGGGATCTAGATATGTCAGAACGATACTGTGAGTAGGGATCTAGACGTGCCAGCACGGTACTGTCTGAAGGGGTCTAGATGTATCAGCCCGGTACTGTCTGTAGGGAACTAAATTTATCAGCACGGGACTGTCTGTAGGGAACTAGGTGTGTCAGCACGATACTGTCTGGAGGGATCTAGACATGTCAGCACGGTACTGTATGTAGATATCTAGATGTGTCAGAACTGTGTCAGCACGGTACTTTCTGTAGGGATCTAGATGTATAAGCACGGTACTGTCTGTAGAGATCTAGATGTGTCAGACCGATACTGTCAGTAGGGATCTAGTAGGGTAAGAACGATACTGTCAGTAGGGATTTAGACGTGTCAGCACGGTTCTGTCTGTAGGGGTCTATATGTGTCAGCACGGTACTTTCTGTAGGGATCTAGATGTATAAGCACGGTACTGTCTGTTAGGATCTAGATGTGTCAGAACTGTGTCAGCACGGTACTTTCTGTAGGGATCTAGATGTTTCAGCACGGTACTGTCTGGAGAGATCTAGATGTGTCAGCCCGGTACTGTCTGTAGGGGTCTAGACGTGTAAGCACGGAACTGTCTGTAGGGGTCTATATGTGTCAGCACTATACTGTCTGTAGGGATCGAGATGTGTCAGCACGGTATTGTCTGTAGGGATCTAGAGGTGTCAGCACGATACTGTATGTAGGGATCTATACGTGTCAGCACTTTACTGTCTGTAGGGATCCAGACATGTAAGCACGGCACTATCTGTAGGGATCTAGACCTGTCAGCACGGTACTGTATGTAGGGATCTATACGTGTCAGCACTTTACTGTCTGTAGGGATCTAAATGTGTCAGCACGGTACTGACTGTAGGGATCTAGATGAATCAGCACTGTACTGTCTGTAGGGATCTACACATGTCAGCACGATCCTGTCTGTAGGGATCTATACGTGTCAGCACGGTACTGACTGTAGGGATCTAGATGTTTCAGAACGATACTGTCAGGAGGGATCTAGATGTATCAGCACTGTACTGTCTGTAGGGAACGAGATGTATCAGCACGGTACTGGCTGTAGGGGTCTAGATGTGTAAGCACGATACTGTCTGTAGGGCTCTAGACGTGTCAGCACGTTACTGTCTGTAGGGATCTAGCCGTGTCAGCACGGTACTTTCTGTAGGGATCTAGATGTGTCAGAGCGATACTGTCAGTAGGGACCTAGATGTACCAGCACGAAACTGTCTGTAGGGATCTAGGCGTGTAAGCAAGGTACTATCTGTAGAGATCTAGACTTGTCAGAACGGTACTGTCTGTAGGGCTCTAGACGTGTCAGCACGGAACTGTCTGTAGGGAACTAAATTTATCAGCACGGGACTGTCTGTAGGGAACTAGGTGTGGCAGCACGTTACTGTCTGTAGGTATCTAAATGTATCAGCACGGTACTGGCTGGAGGGATCTAGATGTGTCGGCACGGTACTGTCTGTAAGGATCTAGATGTGTCAGTACGGTACTGTCTGTAGGGAACGAGATGTATCAGCACGGTACTGGCTGGAGGGATCTAGATGTTTCAGCACGGTACTGTCTATAGGGATCTAGACGTGTCAGAACGGTTCTGTCTGTAGGGGTCTAGTTGTGTCAGCACGGTACTGACTGTAGGGTTCTAGACGTGTAAACACGGTACTGTCTGTAGGGATCTAGACATGTCAGCACGATCCTGTCTGTAGGGATCTAGACGTGTCAGCACGGTACTGTCTGTAGGGATCTAGACGTGTAAGCACGGTACTGTCTGTAGGTATCTAGATGTGTCAGAACGATACTCTCTGTAGGGAACTAGGTGTGTCAGCACGTTACTGTCTGTAGGTATCTAGATGTATCAGCACGGTACTGTCTGTAGGGGTCTAGATGTGTCAGCACGGTACTGTCTGTAGGGGTCTAGGTTTGTCAGCACGATACTGTCTGTAGGGTTCTAGATGTGTAAACCCGGTACTGTCAGCACGATACTGTCTGTAGGGAACTAGGTGTAGCAGCACGGTACTGTCTGTAGGGTTCTAGACGTGTAAACACGGTACTGTCTGTAGGGATCTAGATGTGTCAGCACGGTACTGTCTGTAGGGGTCTAGGTGTGTCAGCACGATACTGTCTGTAGGGTTCTAGATGTGTAAACACGGTACTGTCTGTAGGGATCTAGACATGTAAGCACGGCACTATCAGTAGGTATCTAGATGTATCAGCACGATACTGTCTGTAGGGATCTAGGTGTGTCAGCACGGTACTGTCTGTAGGGGTCTATATGTGTCAGCACGGTACTGTCTGTAGGGGTCTAGACGTGTCAGCACGATACTGTCTGTAGGGATCTAGACATGTCAGCACGATACTGTCTGTAGGGATCTAGGTGTGTCCGCACGGTACTGTCTGTAGGGGTCTATATGTGTCAGCACGGTACTGTCTGTAGGGGTCTAGACGTGTCAGCACGATACTGTCTGTAGGGAACTAGATGTACCAGCACGGTACTGTCTGTAGGGATCTAGGTGTGTCAGCACGATACTGTCTGTAGGGATCTAGGCGTGTAAGCACGGTACTGTCTGTAGGGATTAAGACGTGTCCATCTGGGCCACTAAGTGTGATTAATAACTTTACTTTTCATAATCCATACTTACCAACCTGAAGAAAATGTTTCGAAACTTGGTAAACTTGTGTATAACTGTTGTAGAATAAAAGCCTGTATTTTAAGGAAATACTTTCTAAGAATGCTAGTTTATTAATATCTTGATATACGATAGTTCTTCAATTGAAACCAGTTTGACAAGAAACTTGGGTGAGACGTACATTATACAGGTATCGGTAGATAGATATCAGACAGAGGTATTTGACATAGTATACTCTTATTCTACAAACTATTTCTAAAGCAGGTATTTTTAGCAGTATCACATACAATGCCTTCAATAAGAAAACACTATATATAGACATACTTTTTAAAATCACAATTCATTTGTATCGGGATTTACCAGATTTAGAGGCTATAATACTTCTTCAACCGGTTGTTTTCAAACCACACCTAGAAAACATTGAGAGTTGACAAAATTTATGTTACACCCATACTGGGTTTGTTGGCTTCTAC